TGAACCCATCTTACTCAGTCTCTCCCCAACCCCAAGGACAGTCCCATTCTACAACAGTGGCATCATGTAATATTTGTCCTTTTGTGACTAGGATATTTCACTCAGCATAATGTTCTCCAGAGTCAACCATTTTGAATAATATTGCATGAGTTCCTTGTTTTTTAATGGAAGACTCAATGTTGTGAAAATGGCAATACTACCAAAAGCAATTTACACATTCAATGCAATCCCAATACAAATACCAACCCCATTCTTCAAGGAGATGGAAAAGGCAATCTCCAATTTCGTATGGAATGGAAAAAAGCCATGAATAAGCAAAGCACTCCTTAAGAATAGAAGAACGGTAGGAGGTATCTCACTCCCTGATTTCAAATCAATGTATACTTTCATCAAATTTAGATTTTAAAGTTAGCAAAGACTGCTAGAGAATGATAGTGTGACCCCCTTTTGGGGTTGTGTTTGTTTTTAGCAATGCACTAAATGATTTTTAATTCATGTAGAGCAGTTGGATTCCTTTATACATTTTCTAGTGGTCATCTTTGTAACCAGTGTCCTTGTATTTGATATTGTCTGATTCTGAAGAGTTTAGTTTTTCCTTTTAGATCACTCTCAACCTTTCTACGCCCAGGTTGCCTTTAAGTAGGTGGTTCTTTCTTTCAAGCAAGTAATGCAAATTATTCCCTGGAAAAAAAATTAGAAACCACTCATTCTTGATGTTGGATAACTTTTTAAGACAGTTGAGATTTTTAATAACAGAGTTTTTTCAGTTACTAAGAGCCTTGGTTTCTCTATAATGAGTTTTTCTGCAATGAAAATATAAACATTAGGGAACTTCTACCATTTTGCTGTGCATGTGACTACTTCACATTGTTGTTGTTATTGTGTGTCATCAAGTTGGAACTGATTCATAGCTGACCCTCCAGTGGGTTTTCAGAAGCAGTAAATCACACGAGAGGTGATTGCCCATCCTTCTCCTACAGAACAGCTGGTGGATTCAAACCGTGTGCCTTTAGGGTTGCAGCACAGCTTCTTACTACCAGGTCACTAGAACTCCCTACTTTACATTGTTGTTATATGCCATTGAGTCACTCATAGCGACACTATGTACAAGAGCCCTAAACCCTGCCAACCTCACTAGTCTCTGACACACCTACCCCCATGATTCCAATCACTGAATCGAACCATCTCATTGAGGGTCTTCCTCTCTTGTGCTGTCCCTCCAACCTCCCAAAAATAATGACCCTCTCCAAAGAATGGTCCCTCTTTTCAACATGCCCAAAGTATGTTAAGATGAAGGTTCAGAATCCTTGCCTCCAAGGAGCAGCCTGTTTTCACCCTCTAAAAGTAAGATATTCTTGAGGTCATGACTATCAAATGGATCAGTATTAGTGTATCAGAACATTGTGCTGCCAACAGAAAAATACTGCTGGTGAAAGGACAGAAGGCAGAGGTGGAGGAGAGGAAGGGGTGCATCTTCAGGCAGAGAATGTTGCACAGCTCATCATTGGCATACAGGGGCTTATATTGCCTATCCTTTTCTGCTGGATGGTCTGAACACCGACACTGCACACTTAACTATTCAGTTTTTCTTTGATATATTCTTGTCTGTACTGCAGGTTAATCTGGTTGACCTTAATTTCACTTCTAGGGAGAAATGATAACCGTTTAGGATGAGATGAAGAAATGTATCCACTTACACTAATTTCACTTGGTTTCAGTTTCATAGTTGCATTCTTCATCGTGACTTTCTGGAATGTGGCATAAGACTGACATGGAGTAGGTGCTGGTAGCAAGTATTGATTGAGCGCCTACTGCATGCTAGGCATTGTGTCAGAATTGAGGGACCCGTGAGGAGGTGAAAGGAGTCAAGGTGTCAAGGGAGAGATTGTGTGGTCAGATAGGACAGGATGGATATATGGACTATGTGATACTTAGAAACCACCTTTGAATTGGTTCCAACGCATGGACAATCCTCTTTCTGAGGCTGTCCGTTTTTATGGGAAGAGACTGCAGTTCTTTCTTCTGCAGAGCTGCTGGTTGATCCTGAACCACAAGCATTTAGGTTTGCAGGCCAACACAGAGCCCACTAGAACACCAGGGCTCCATATGCTATTTATAAGACTGGGAAATGGAGTGATGTGATAAGAGGTGGGAGGAAATGAGACAGATGGCATTGTGGCTGTCTCATGATCTGTCAAAGTCTCCTAGAAAAGTAGTTGTTTTTCACTCTTTAATATTTTCAAATGCCAGAAATACTAGAAAACAGCTATGTCCAGAGTGGAAGAGGCCCCTTCAAGGAGTCAAATAAGATAATTAAAGTGACCTTTATCAGATTTAGCAATTCATTATTAGTATGCTATAATTTACCTTTGTAAAGACAAGCAAAAGTAGTGGTCTAAAATAACTCTGTTTTCAACTCTTAGACATAGTCCAGTGACTGTAGTTGAAGAGTTTAGAAAAGAATAAATTATCTGTAGAGAGAGGCAATTAGAATGCCGTTAGTGAAACCTCTCTACCTGTTGGTGCTGGGAAAGCAATCCTCGGAGAAATGTTTCCATCAACAGTTTTGTTTATGTCTGCTCACAGTGCTGGTAGCTGACTTAATTAACTAGAAATGAAAAAAGTTTCTGCATCTTGTCGGGTATCTCCAAATATAATGAGTTATCACTGTCATTATTCTTCTTGTTATTTGGATTTTTATCTTAGAATAAATACACATACAAGAATTTCATTTCAAGTAATAGACTCATTAGTGGCTACACACTGAACTACTAAGTGAATTGATAATTTGAGTAAGGATACATGTATAAGGTACCTATATCTGGTTTATTTCTATATCATAAGGTTGTCTTTCAGCTCTTCCAGGATACCTGGCTTTTTGAATATACGAGACTCAGAGTGGCTCTTTTTGTAAAGTGGCTGTCAGTCACTTTCTGACCTTCCTTGCAGTTCTTCAAATGATGCAGAAGCATTGATTCTGCCCATTCTGCAGTTGAAGAAACAGTACCAAAGGTTACTAACAGGAAAATCTATTGTGCAGAATTACAGAAAATCAGATTATCAGGAAAGGATCTGAGAAATCTTCTGCTTAGATCCAGCCCTTTCTTTTGCAAAGAAGGAAATGAAGGCGTCAGTGACACCCTCTTATTCCTAGTAGAATCTTTGGTTGTCATTGAGTTACAGCCTTAGGACTGACTGGGGTCAAGTAAGTGGTCAGTCGTTGTGTATTATCAGCCATTATCGTGTCTGTAGGATGGGGCAGAACCCACACAGGAAGTCAGATGACCTAACATTCCAGTGCTCTTTAACCAGTTGCCATTGGGTCACTTCTGAGTCATGCTAACCATGTATGTGTCAGGGGAGAGCTGTGCTCCATGTATGTAATGTAGAATTTTAGTGAAGTAGATCACCAAGCATTTCTTTGGAGCATTTTCTGCATGGCATTAACCTTTGGGTATCAGCTGAGTGCACTAACCAGTTTTACCACCCATCTTAGAGATAGAGAAATGTGTTTGGATCAAAATAAACATAGTGAGGGCCACAGTGCCCAGTGCTGAGCACTGACTCAGTGCTAAATTTTTTCTTCAGCTTTGCCTATGTGTGTTTCCCTTCAATCCCCTGGTGTTCTGGGATTCCTACTGTTCTCATGTGCATTTTACATAAGCAAAGCTTGTGTTAATGTAACTCTTAAAATGTTGCACCACTGATAAGAGAGACTGAGGCAGAGTTTAATCCCTCCTCCATCTGACTCCTGAATCTCTGTTCTTAACCTTATTCTAACCCAGTAGCTAGCATTCAATACAGCTCACTGACTGCATCTGGCCATCAGCCGTTCTGTAGCTATGACTGTGTTTCACTTTTTAAAATTGTTGGGGGAAAAACCCCAGAAGAACATTTTGTGACACATGGAAATGATACACAATTTTAATTCCAGTGTCCATAAATAAAGTTTTATTGAAATAGCACCATTCATGTTCATTTCAAAACTGTAACTACTTCAGCACTACCATGATGTTAAATGATTGGGACAGAGATTATGTAACCCACAATCCCTAAAATATCTAATATCAGTCATTTTATAGAAAAAAATTGCAAATTCCTGTCTTGTATACTGTTCCTTAATGATTATCTTTTATGAGGTTCCTTTATTTAGAGCGTAAGTGTGATATTTTTCTAGGACTCATTTTCTCCTTTTACCTATATTTGACTTGGTTCCATGTGAATTAACATATCAATTAAATGATAATGTCAATATGAAATCTAATCCCTTTGCTGTTGAGATTCAGCTGCATGACATAGCTACCCTATAGACAGAGTAGAACTGCTGTATAGGGTTTCCAAATCTATAAATTTTATAGAAGCAGAATACCTTTCTTATGAGAAGTGACTGGTTGATGAAAAATGCTGACCTTTAGCATCTAAGCATTTTAATCACTGTGCAATGCTCACTCCCAAATAGTGAGTCCAGTGTGTGAAAGGAATTCACCTGTAAATTGTCAAGAGTGTGTCTTTTTTTAATAGACTGAGGGATTATTTGTTAATAGATATTGGTTAACCTCTTGGTGAGGCAGTGTTTACAATCTACGTGGACTTAGCTTTTTGTGTTCTACCTGCCCCTCACATCTGCTTACTGAGATGATTATTTAAATTTACATAAATCACTCTATTTTCTTTTCTTTGTAGTGGTCTGCTGTCTTCTGATTATGTGGAGATTCATTATGAAAATGGAAAACCACAGTTTTCTAAGGTATGTTTAACAGTGTTTGGATAAGTATACTTAATCAAAACTGTTCAGTGTACTGCATTATGTTGTTATCGATCTCAACACATAGATCAAGAAGCAGTTGTCAGGACAGAACAAAGGGACATTGAATGTTATAAAATCAGGATGGTGTGTTCATTTTAAAATCAGAAAAGGTATGACTCAGGGCTATGGCCTTTCTCCATACTTACTCAACCTAGGTGTTGATCAAATAACTCAAGAAGCTGGACTATATGAAAAAGAATGTGGCATTTTAGAATTGGAGGAAGACTCCTCAACAATCTTTGTTATACAGATGACACAGCTTTGCATGTAGAAAGTGACAAGGACTTGAAGCACTTGTTGCAGAAGATCGAAGACTTCGATATGGATTACAAATAAACATCAAGAAAACAAAACTCCTCACTACCATACTTCAAGGAAACATTGTAATAGATGGAGAAAGGATTGAATCAGGAATTTAATTTTACTTGGATCCACAGTTAATATCCATGGTAACAGCAGTCAAAAAATCAGAAGCCCTGTTGTGTTTGAAGAATCTGCTGTCACCAAACAACAAATGCTGGCGAGGTTCTGGAGAAATTGGAAGCCTTATTCACTGTTGATGGGAGTGTAAAATGGTGCAACCATTATGGAAGGCAGTATGATGCTTTTTCAAAAAGTTGCAAATAGAAATACCATTTGACCCAGCAGTTCCACCACTGGGAATGTACCCTAAAGAAACCAGAACTGTCACCCAAGCAGATATATTCACACCCATGGTTATTGCTGCATTATTCACAATAGCAAAGAGATGGAAACAGTTCAAGTGACCATCAACAAACAGATGGACAGAGATGCTATGGTATATTCACATGACGGAACACTATGCAACATCAAAAAACAAGGAACTCATGAAATATTCTAAAAAATGGGTGATCCTATCCTAAAGAAACCAGAACTGCCACCCAAGCAGATATATGCACACCCATGTTTATTGTAGCTTTGTTCAAAATGGCAAAGAGTTGTAAAGAACCCAAGTGCTCATCAACAAACAAATGGAGAGAGAAACTGTGGTATATTCACACAATGGAATACTATGCTGCATTGGAAAATAAAGAACTCATGAAATATTATACAAATAGGTGACCCTGGAAGACAGGCTGAGTGAAATATTTCAGTCACAAAAGGACAAATACTGCACAATTCCCCTGTTATCAAACAGGACTGACATGGGGGTTGGGAGGAAACTAAGAAATGAGGGGATAAATAATGCACGCTGCATTGAAATAGATGAGAGTGAGAACTGCTTAAAAGGAATATATGATTAGTTATTATTTGCATGACAACAGTCCAGAATAAGAGCTGAATAGTAAAGTGGACTGAGTGAGGGGGGATTGTATAACAATGTAATTTTTTTTAAAAGAGAAACTGGTGGGGAGGGGTGAGCAGTGAGGAAAATGCAAGAGTGAATGAATGGAAATCCATGTTCTCTATCAACTTTCATTAAAATCTCAGTAAAGGAAAGAAAAATCTATTGTCAAGAACTGCTGCAAAGCACTGAAAAGCAAGGATACCAGTTTAAAGACTATGGTGCGCCTGATTCAAGCCATAATATTTTCAGTTGATTCCTAAGCATCTGAAAGTTTCACAGTGGATAAAGAAGACCAAAGAAGGATTGATGCTTTTGAATTGTGGTGTTGGAGAAGTGTGTTGAATATTGTGTGGACTGCCAAAAGAACAAGGAAGTCTGTCTCGGAGAAAATACAATGTACTTTTTAGAGGCCAGGATGGTGAAACTTTTTCTCACATACCTTGGATATGTTGTTCTTCAGATGTCTGAAAAACGCAGAGAAGAGAGGAAAAGCCCCGTAGAGTTGGCTTGATCCAGTGAGTACAGGTATGGGCGTGAGCATGGCAGAGGTCACAAGAATGGTGTAGGAGAGGACGGAGTTCTAAGCTTGTGTTTGTAGGGTCACTGAGAGTTGTAGTTGGCTGGATGGCACCTAGTAACAACATCTCAACCTTCATTCAAAATGCAGTTACATGCATAGACAAGGTACTATTTTAATGAGAAAAATGCTATTAGAACTCTTAGAGTTCTAAAAATTCTGTATATTTGGTCAATAAAGAAATATTTATTATTTTCTTTATGCATGCATACATACAATGTCTTATAAAAAATGGTAAAAAGTTTCATATCTGAAAGTAACTTAAAGTTGGAAATAAAGGAGAACACAGTATCTGAATTGTAGTAGTGTTAGAACACCTTTTTAGTCCAAATGATGTACGAAGGTGCACAGAAGACAGACAGCAGGGAAGGATGCTTTAGGGAACCATCCCCCTCTTAATGTTTAATAACCTTGGGGATAGTTTTTTATTTTATTTTATTTTTAAAATAATTTTAATGAACATTTACAGAGAATTTGGATTTCCATTCATTCATTGCTGCAGGGGATAGTTTTATTCTTGTCTTCAAACAATGTCATTCAGGCATAGAGAGGTCTAATAGGTCTACTCATGCCATTTATCAAAATAGAAAGATACTTGGATGCTTGATCTCCTTCATTTGAGAATTAATTTTTGTTCTCTTCAGAGAATATCGATAAGGAAGAAGTGGGTTTAGATTAAAGCAGGGGAGGGATTATTTGTAGGAATGGAATACAGTGATTCCCACCACTCAGGCCGTAGCTGCAGGAAGAATGTGATGTTGAGGAAGTCAGGAGCACCACCAGTCCTCAACAGTGTCCCCAGAGAACACAGATATGGGATAGGAGATAGAGGGAGACAATGTGGGCGGGGATTATTTGACTTATTTCTAGATTGCTAACTGAGGTATTCTTATTTGCGGTGAAATGACCATAAATCGCACAGAAGAAGGTTGCCCCTAATTCTCTCCTGGAGCAGCTGAAGGAATTTAACTGCTTGCCTTTTGAGTAGACAGTGCAATCCCTTAACCACTAGGTCGCCATAGCTCTCCCCCCCCCCCACAATTTTTATTAGTGTTGCGTAAAAGAACACCTTTCATGTGTGCTGTGCAGGAGAAAGAATGGTGGATTTTGGTTAGATTTCATCTCAACAAATATTTGTAGGTACCATTAATTGTAAATGCTGCCCAAAGGCCAGGGCATTCTTTTGTATTCATAACTGTCCAATTAGCAGTAGGCAATTTATAATTTAATGTATATTCCAGCCTTTGGATTTGGTGACATAGATTAAAAACCTCTATCTATCCTAACTGTTGCCAGTTCTTGCCTTAGGCGGCATCTTGGGGTTTGTTGAGTCTCCCTAAAAGTTGATGCTGTGGAAAGTGAACAGAAATGCTAAATCAAGCACAGCAATGGGGTTTTCTGGCATTGGTACAAACCAAAGCTACTGTCAGCTGTGCCAGTCCCAGCCCCGGGAGCACTGCGGATGCTGAATCATGAGTCTGGAGTGGAGAAGATTGCAGGAGAACTTTTAGACTCAGCAAATGGGCCACCTTTGTAGGCTGCAGTAACCTGATCCAAACTCCTTGCCAAGAAGTTCAGTCAAGTTTGGTTCCTCCCCTCCCCCCCCCATTTTTCTGAGGCAGAATAGCTAATTGGCCTTCGAGGTCATTTGAGGATCCAAAAAGGAGATTTTGTCGTTAGTAAGACATTTCAAATCTGTACTAGTAAGAACTAAATTTTAAATAAGGAATTTCAGCTCTGACTGAAGAAACTGCTTACATTTCTGTTCATTGTGGTTGGTTTTTGTATTCATTACTCTTTTTTTCTCATTTGTGATCCTTTTTCTCCAAGCAACTCATACACTCAAACTTATTAACTTCTTGATAGTGAAAGAATGAATAGTAATAATATGTGTTTTATGTAACAACATCTATGTTTATTCATGTGTCTTATAATGCCCAAGTAGACAGCATCCAATTTAATATATGTGAATTCAAATTCTGATCAGAGCATTGTTGTTGTTGTTATGTGTCATCAAGGTCTGAACCCTGCCCTCTTCTGAGCCAATCTCATTAACTCTGAGACACCTACTCCCTTGCCCGAGTTACTATATCAGGCCATCTCATCCGGGGTCTTCCTCTCCTGTGCTGTCCCTCCACCCTTCTGAGCATGATGTCCTTCTCTAAGGTCCCTCCTGGCCATGTCCCCAAAGTATGTGAGATGGAGCTTCAAAATCCCAGCTTCCAAGAAGAAACTTGGTTTCATCCTCTCCAAGACAGACTTATTTGTTTTTTTGGTAGTCCATGGTATGTTCAACACTCTTCCCCATTACCACAACTCAAAGGCATCAATTCTTCTTCTGTCATCCTTAGTCATTGGCCAGCTCTCTGAGGCACAGGAGGGAATTGCGAAGACTATGGGCTGGATCAGGCACACCTTAGTCTTTAGGCTGACATCATTGTTTCTCAGTACTCTGGAGAGGTTCCTGGCAGCAGATTTTTCCAGTGCAATTTGTCTTTTGATTTCCTGACTGCTAGTACCAAGAGTTTGATTGTGGAGCCAAGCAAGCTGTAATTGTTATCGACCTCTGTCTCGTCTCCATCTTTCATGATGCTGTCAGTTGGCCCAGTGGTGAGAATTTTTCTCTTCTTGATGTTGAGTTTTAATCCATATTGAAGACCACAGTCCTTGACCTTCTGCAGGTAGCACTTCAGGTTCTCCTCAGTTTTGGCAGGCAAGGTTGTGTCATCTGTCATCAGAGCTTTAGACTTAATGCTTTTCACAAGCAGCATTATATATTTCATGTTTGTAGTAAAAAGGTGATTGCAGTTGCATGCATGTGAGAGCAAAATACATAATAATCTATAATGTATATGTCCTGATAATAATAATAAATTTCAGTACTACTAACTTATGCATATACTGCACTTTCTTTCTAAAACGTTTCCTTATAGCAATATATACTCATTGGCAGCAACATCCAGGCTCATGTGTTGCACCTTTTTTTTTTCTTTTTAGTGTAGTAGCTTTATTTATTTCTTTATGTAATTTCTTTCACTGATATTATCATGAAGT